GCTTCGTGAATAGCAACTCGATCTTCGTCCCGCATTTTATCAAATTCGTCTATACATATCACCCCACCATCTGCCAACACCATTGCTCCACCCTCGAGATGAAATTCGCGCTAATTTATGGGAAGTCATTGAGATATTTCTTTTACGCATAAGTTAAGTTCACAGACACTAAAGAGATCTTACAGTGGCAACGTCTCGAACTACAGCTGCTGTTAGACCCGCGGCACTGCTTCCTTTTCCCGATGTATAAACAGCGACAGGTGCAACCTAAATAAAAAAAAAATATAAAAATACAGATTCGCCAGTTATCAATTGATTGCATAAAAAAAGAAATTACATGCCTGATGCACGAACTTTAGGAACTGACTTTTTGCAGTTCCAGGATCACCCAGCAATAAAACATTAATGTCACCTCTCAATTTCATTCCATCTGCCAAAATTTTTTTACTTCCACCGAAGAGCAGACAAGAAATTGCACGCTTAATTTCTAGAAATAAAATTTTGTAGTAGTTAATATCTGTTTAACAGGATAACAAGTCTCAGAATGTGATAAAGAGAAATGACCTTGATTTCCATAAATTGATGGTGCAATGCTATTTGTGAAAACTTCATAGAAATCTGGTCTTTGAGACAATGTTATTATCTCCTCTTCTTCGGCGTGCGTGTAACCATTCTGATCTTGACCACCTTGTTCATTATCAAGTTCAAGTCCAAGAGCTTTGATATAAGACATACGAGTTCCTATACCTTGACCTTGTTTCTGTGATCCACAGTTAGCAACCAGTAAATATAATACAATTCAATTAATTGGTATTAGCACACATACCTTTGATGAAAAGCTCTGAAAAATATCATAAATTCCGACGATCTTGACGCGCCTCCCGGGAACAACCTTATTGGTCAAAAATCTTACGTGTAGAATTACAAGGAAATTAACATTTTTTTATTCTGACAACACGTGTTATGTTTTATCAATAATACCTGTCCACGTGGACTGTTATATGACGAGGTAAGTCGCCGACAGGAAGTAACTCTGGAAGTTCTTGAAGTTTCAAGACTTGTTGATCCACGAAAGTACATTTGTCGTGAATGATGACATAAGGATCGAGACCACAATCCTTGGGCCCCAGACCATTGGGGTCACTAAATAAAATTTATGATGTAGATATTCAATATTGAATTTATTGCATCCCATTAATAATAATCAAATTACCTATCACAAGCCCGGGGAAGTTGGATCCCCGAAAAGCCATCTGCAACAGTCATCGTTTTATATTGTCGACAGGTTTTGCACATGATCTGAACGCTTGTTGCTTTAGCTGTCAAATTTGTGGCCGCAATTATGATCCCGGAAACATTAACGAGTTGAGATATGTTATCTGACTGAACAGTATAAAATAATTAGAACATGAAAAAAAATTACTGAGAGCACAATCAATGACCCTCACTCACGTTGAGTTTTCTTAAATCTTGAATGCTATCTTTGGAACGAAGCAAAATTTGAAACGGAGGAATCGAATCATCTTTTAAAAGTTGCTTTGCTAAATTTTGCACTGCCACCTCGAACTTGGGTATTTAAAACGCGAATATGAATTATTAATCAAATCCAAAGTATTAATATTAAAATAAATGACTTTTAGGTACGTACCAGGGGCAAAACATCAGCAGGAGAAGCTTTGAATTTATCAGAAAGGTTTCTATCAACTTCATCAAGATGTTCCAGCTGGACATCGAGTTTATACTGACGGCCTTCCGCGTTTCTCTTGATTTTTTCCCTGCGAATTATCAATTTGATAAGTGTGAAAAACGTATAAGAAGGCTTGCGCCTACAGATATATAGGAGAGTATATAAATGTTTAATGTATGTACCTATAGATAAAATGTTCTTCCACTCGAAATTGATCAACAAAATTATAAAATTTCGACTCAATTACAACTCGTGAATCATTTCGAATTTGGGTTTGATGGACCCCAGCGCTATAAATTCTTCCGGCATCCCAACCAGTAGCAGACATTATTAAATGTATTAATTGATAATGTGAGTAGAGTGTTTGACAAAAGAAGACGCGGTTAACACGACTGATTCCCTTTTTTTTCGCGTTCTCAACGTGACTTGGTTCACGTGATAGATCCTAGCAAATCATAACTTCGAATATGCAAAACGACAATAGACCAACATGTTAAAGTATTTTCAGATTACAGTATGGAATCTACTAATACTATTTTTGTCAATCATTAACAATATTTTTTAAAAACTATTAATAATAGTTATGTATTTATTAAATATACAGTATGTATTGTATATTGCAATATTATAATAATAAATTTAATAAATCAAATAAAATTTGCTAAAAAAATTTTTTTTATTTATAATTTATTTTTTTTTAAAAAAAAAATCTATATATCAAAATTGGATATTAATATTATATTTTATAAAAAAAATAACAAAAATATTAATAGTGTTTTAAATTACTTTTTTTATGTACAATAAGTATTGTATAAAAATTTATAGAAATATAGTTAAAAGTATAAAAAACTTGAAAAACTATTTATTTACTGTATATTGCGATTAATTAGTTATTATTATAATTAATTAGTCATTTTATTAAAATAATTTTTTTATATACAATATCAAAATTCTCACAAGTATTTTTTTCTTTTTTTTTTTTTTTGATTTTAAATCAATGTTTATAAATAAATTTGTAATTCATAAATGTTAGCATTTTGCTTATTATATTATTTTTAAAATTTGATTAAATTATAACAAAATGCATTCAATCTTTTTGTTACATATTGCATTTTTGTTATTATATTTATAAAGATACTGCACATTATCATTAATATTGTGTATTACTAATATTACTTTTTTGCATATAAAAGTTGGATCATGCTAGGATCAGGAACATGCCCGGATGTCGATCATTCAAATCATACTAGTGAGAAATTTTTAAACATTAAAAAACTTTACTCTCGAATAAATTTTTGCTTTGAATCCTTTTCTTCGTGGTAGACACTTAAGATTCAGATATGACTTCACCTAGCATACTGCAGTGAGTATCCTTAGTACTTCGTAAATAGACAAATTCTTGTTTTTAGCCTTTCTCATTACAATATGTTCTCTGCATTAATTGCACTAACATTACTAACATTACTAACATTCCACAGACAAAAAGAACTTGCAGAAACTACCAAAGGTTGAAATTACGTTTCTAGAAACAAGCAACTGCAATTTTTACACGTTTGTACCAAGTTTTAACGGTTCATTCTAATTTTACACTTATCTTGTCTATAGCTCTATCAACGCTAGATATTAACAAATCAACGCAGCGAGACAATTCGGAACAACAAGAATTGCAATTAGAACCTCAATTTAAGGACATTACATCATTTTTGGATGAAGTTACGAATGGTACCGTTTAAATCTCTTAGATGTTATTATTATTCTCTGTCGAGGGACTCTTTATAATCCTCACGTTTGATCTCTTCGTAAAAGAGTAGAATTCGAAATTGGTCAACTCGTTCATCTTGAATCTTTTGGGCTTTATGACGCAATGAGTTCGATTGAGGTAATAATCATTGCCAGGATAATCAAATAAATTTTACACATTTTCTTTGCAAGGTGATTCCGACATACGGTTTTTGATTTAGATCATGGACTCCAAAATGGATAGCGGAATGATTTTAGACAGTGATTTAAACAAGAAGCCATTGGACCTATGTGCTCGCTTAAGGCCTGAACAAACTCTTTGGATCATCGATCGATTATTTATATGTGAGGTACATTTACAAAATTTTTTTCGTAAGATAATATACATAAATAAAGTATACTTCAGCTCATTCCTATTTAGATGACATGGCACTCTGGACATTCTCTCTCGCAAACTCTGTTTACCTGCATGTATCTACATCATGTCATGGAACTTAAGCCTGAATTGTTTTCCAATGATTCTAGTGACGGCGTTGATCGGGACCTTGTGCCTATAGAATTTGTGATATTGATCTTAAAAAGTTATGTTTTGGCTACGGCAAAATGTTGTCAATTTGTCCTGGATGAGATGGTAAAGGGAAATGTCTATGAAGTAAGCGTACCTATTTTCTTACCGCCGTATACGATTTGGCTATGCCAAGATCTTTGATCCACTTAATTAAAACAGGAAGAAGATTTTGCAACAAACAAGTATGGCATTTCAATATATGATGACTTTCCCGAATCACAGGCCATAAAACTTCTTGAGGATGCAGATAATTGGTTGATTCAACATGGTTTCCATTGGATTCGACAAAATGGTATTTTAAGTAAACTTTTCTGGGTTCTTAACCATTTTCTAAATGTCGGTTTCAAAAATTGATTTTTTTCAATAACACAAAGGTATAGATAAGGGAGAGGAGATTATTCGAGCCTTACAAGTTAGGCTTCTCTTGAGAAAGGTTGTTATTTATTACCAAACCGTACTAAGAAAGATTTTTTTAATACAAGGGAGGTTTTTTTTTTAACGCAACATGATTTCTTTAAACAGTCTTTTCTCTTAGCCCTTGTTCACATGTCTCAACCATGTTGTCAGCAATATCCTCAAGCGCAGAGACAACTTACAGTCTGCATGCAATTGTTAAATGGTACCAAAGATGAGATTGGTATTAATCACACTCTGAACTTGGGAATTGAGGTCGAGGGAGGTATATATTGATTTTTTTTTTCTTTATGCCAATAATGGCTTTCATACAATAAAGAACATCATTGGAATGAATTCATAATATTATGTTCATGGATTAGCTTTTGACCCCTTAATCAACCGTAAACTGGTCTCCCAAACCCCTCCGCGACCGATTCGACTATTTACAATGCAAGAGGTGAGTGCTCTCACTTCAAACGAAGAATATTAGAATTATCACTCTCGCGGTATTTAACGGGTTCATTATGCATGTCGCGCAGTCTATTGACGAAATGCTTAACATATTTCAAAGTCTTTCCGCAACTTGTAGAATCATTGATTATAAATCGGCGACTAGCCTAATGGTAAGTTATTTAATTGATAACTGTTGTTCAACGAATAACCTTCGCGCTCAATATTTGGTTGCGTTATATGCTAGAACTACATGACATATCACTCTTCAAAACAACCATTACCATGTGCCTTATCGAGGTCAATATTACAGGTATGCGGATTCTTTCTGCGAATTGTTGTGATTTTTTTTTCGCATTTATAGCTCCAAGTTTCAAAACCACATCCAACTTTCTAATATATACATCAGTCTACTGTCTATTCGGAGAACCGCGTTCTCGGAAAAATTTCAATATTTCAATTGGTAAAAGATTCTGTCACAGAATTGACGAATCCACCGTATATCTATTTTGCGTCCAAATCAGAAGTTGGAACATCTATCAATGGTTCGCATATTGATGCAAACAGGGCGAAAATTTCGAAACTGATACATAATTTTGTCGATAGCGCAGCAAAGGTATGATGTAGAAACATTTCAAATTTACCAAATTTTATCAGGTGATAATGGAGCGATCTGTTTGAACTTCAAATAAAGCCATTGACAGATTACTTTCGAATTCTATGTCATAATCGTTCGAGGCAACGGAGAAATATGTGTAAAGTAATAGCAGATTGGGATCTACTACAAGAGGGTGTAAGTATGCATCCTTTGCGTTCTTATTAATAACTGATAAAGGAATTTTTTTATTTGCATTCATTAACCCTAAAATTTATCTATCAGGCCGAAAATATAGACACCGAGTTGCAAACATTGGCAAAGGAAGAACCATTGGAGTCCGAGGTACGTTGATTTTTTTGAAAGGTGTTCAGCGATAAAATTTATGTGACAATCTGATATTAATCGGGATCTTCTTAGGAAGGACCGTCGTATTCTTTTCACCTTTCTTCTTGGGTTTACATTCGAAAATTGACACTATTAGAGGATATTTTGTTCCTCGGATTTGAATTGGATTTGTATGGAAATCACGAATTTGTGATGATGTATTGGTGAGAATCTAACGTTAATGCTAGATAGAAAATAACATTATACACCGAGATGAATATTTTCTTTTGGTATAGGTATTTGGACTACATATTGGGAGTTCATCACAGACATCTAGAAAGGACTCGCCTTCACGTAGCTGGTACGATAGTTAATATAGGTGAAAATTGAAATTTCAATGCGTGTGCAATTCATTTTAATTTCACACATGTGCACGTTCATCAGATCATCGAAAGTTCAAAAGACAACAAACCCACATTCAATTTGCACCACCACCATCACCTTCCGTTTCATTGATAATTACTCATCAAATGCTAACCATGGCGAGACAAGATATTTGTCGCGGAATCCACAGGGTATGAAATGTTGTTTCTTTTTAGAGATGAATTCGCAAAATTATCTGGATCATCAATATTCCTTTGGCGTCAATAGGCTATAATAGCACTTCAAAAGACAGGGCATTATGTGCCACCGAAATTAGAATTTGACGACGAGAATGCCCGATTCTCGCATAGGTTTCGAATGTACAGTAATTTAGGAAGTCCGGCGACACTAACTTTCCAAGATTTCAAAGAGACCACTCGCTTAGATAATATTACGGTATTTACATCCTTCATGGGAAATTTTCGTTTCATGCGCTGACAACCATTTTTGATATAATTCTTTTTTCTCTTTTTTAATTACTTACTATAAAGGCAATCGATCTCATGAACATTGCTTTACAGAATTTTCAGTCTGCTAGGTCTTCACTCGAAAGTTTA